TCACTCATCTATATATAGACAGTAGCTTTTACTTAGCACACTTTAAGCATACAGAATGATGCAAAGACTAAGACGCCTATAAACCAACATCTCCTGAAGGACAAAAAGGTGTTTTCTTTTAATTGCAAGTGTGTAGTGTAAAACATAGAAATACATGAAATTACAGTGTAAGTAAATGAAATTTCCCTATGTCACTAAATGAAGTTTCCCTATGCTTTAAAAAAGGTAAACAAAACAGTTACAAGAATGAAGTTCTCCAATATCTAAAACATAAAAAATCCCAAACTATGTCTGCATAGCTCAAAGTTAGTAAAAGAAATCTTTATTTTTTTTAAACATGTGGCTTGGAACCTAAATTCTAAAGGGATCTTTATCCTTTCGGGTTTTTGTTTTCAGAAAATACTAACACAAATAAATACACACCCCTATAACGGTTAGAAAAAGAATATAAGGTAAAAGTTTATAAAAGAAACTATGGTATCTTTAAATTGTTTTTCAGTGGTGTTAAAATATAGCTTTATTTTTATGTATTTACATATTTAAATGTAACAGGAAATTATTCTAACAATTATTACACAGGAAATGTGCACCTTAAATATCTGAGACTCCCAGTTTTAATGCTGTGATAGGTGTTTTCCTACCACAAAACACTTAAAAAAGGATGCTTTTCTGGAAGGCCCCATGACTCGCTCTGAGCTTCTACCTATGACACTGCATGAAACAAAAAGCAAGAGCTTTAAAAAAGGAGCCTGCAGGCTCACTCCCTGATATATGGGCAGGCAGCTTTTCTTGGTCCTCTGAAATACTGCGTAATCCTTTTCACATGGCTAGCTGAATGGCTGGACTTAACTTCTGAATATTGGAAACGTGGCATTTCTGTTCCTGTTTCTGCTCTGCAGGAAGTAACAGGATGGCCACAGCAGACTTACCAAAATGTAACTCCCTCAAACTTGCTGTCATTAAAGTAACATGGCCCAGCTGCAGGAATATGCAAACCAGCCCAGGAAGACAAGGGAGAAAAGTATTTACTCCTTTTTGGTGCCTTATCGTTGCAAACTCTCATCCCGTTGCTCAGTGACTGACTCTTTTTATATGGGTTTGCACATCACCCTCCACCAGTGCCTGACATAAAAATGTCATGTCAGTCTGAAGCTCTTGCTCAAATTCCATGTCCCCCCCCATCCACACTGAAGAATGGTCTATCACAGAGCAATCCTACATGGACACACATGTGGACATCAGTTCCAGTAAAAAAGCTCACCTTTTATTTGATCCATCATAAACTGAGCAGCATGAGACAGAACTGGCTAATAGAAGAATGTTTTTTTTCAACTCTCAAGGTAATCACCAAGGCAGATGTTTGCCCCAGAGAGGGTAAGTGTCCTTGCACAGAAGGATGTAACTAAGGCGAGAAAAAACTCTGTATCTCACTCCGTGTGTTTACACAGCAAAATGAAGGTGTGATGCAGTTTGAGTGGAGATGGCCGCTCCGCTCACTTTACTTTAGTTAGCAGGGTGTCCTTAACAACAGAAATGTGACTAGAAGGTTTTGAAATAAGTGCATCCACTTGCTGAGCAGCTTAGGTGGGGGTCTGGTTGTTAATCTGCGCTAATGTCAATTGTCATCTATCCTCACTAAGGTAAAACTGGCAAAGTTATGCCTACACAAATGCCTTCCCTTTTTGCTGTGAGGGCATACTGTGAAAGTCAGGTGGAAAAACACAAGGAGCACCAAACAGACTCATGAGGTGAGTTGTGTTTATAAACTTGAGAAGAAATAACTGTTCCTACAAGATTTATGATCCTCATATCCTGCCAAATCCATAAAATGAACTGGTAAACCTCAGTGAAATTAAATTAGTAAGGTATTACTGCATGACAGTTGAAAAAGACATATTACTTCTGTTATGCTGCTTTATAACAGAATCTAACAGTGCAGTATAAAACCCACAGCTTTTTAATGTCAGTGCCACATTTTAAATGTTATAAAAAAGCCTCTGCTCAAAAGAGGATCTCTGTACTGAAACAGACTGGCTAACTGCAGGGATAAAATGCGTTTCCTAAAAGCTTTGGGAACTGAAATTTCAGTTCTCACTGAAATGTTCTTTAAGCAAGCACTGAATAGATATGCAGAATTACTTTTGTGTTTGAACTTTGTACTCTTACAGGGACAGACTGGGAAAGAGAAGTGTCTGACCGAAGTCTGTCAGCGTGCCACCCACCCTCACCTGCACTGCAACACACCTTTTCCAGTTTCGTGCCTCTTGATCACAGCCTGTTCATCAGTGAGCTCCCAAATGACCTTTGTTTGCGATCTACGGTAGGGCTGAAATCCACATCTCCAGGGGCAGAAAACTGACAGTCCACTGCGTAACTGTAGCCACAGCAAGCCCTTGACTGTTCAAGCATTTTTACCTCTAACAATGGAAGTTCAAAGTTAACAGAAACTCAACTCCTAAATTCCCTGTACCCAAGCTCTGCAGTGCTCATATTAACACTCAATACCTTCATGCAGACACTACAAATGATAGATGTGTTAAACACTGAAGGAAGAATTTAACTTTGCTGCCTTTTGGGGTATGCGGTATAGCCGTCGAGTGGTATGTACCACAGCTACACAAGCACTGGGATTTAGCCGTGCTATTCTTGTAACGGCTACTGGCTTGTTCCAGTGTAAATTCAGTACACAAAATGTCAAGTAACTTTTTGCAGGAATCAACCAAAACTTGAGTGTCTATGGACAGACTTCCCACAGTTTTAATTCAAGTTCCTGGGTTTTGTCCTCATCAGTCAACAAATAAATGTTTATTCACCAGAAGCTGATAATCAAAATCTCATTTGCAAAGATAAGTGAGATTTCCCATGAAGTGGTACTCTAGGAAATGCTGTCCACAAGCACTAGTCATGCTAGTCAGATGAAAAGCAACAGGCTCTCACTACTTACAGTAACTGTCTCTAAATTTTTTTTGCATTATCCACTTCCAAAGGCACACATTCCTTTGATAAGAAATTGAAAGATTCTGCAAACAGCATCAATGTAACCTTGTAAGAAAGTGTGCCTGCACTGAGGTACTCCAAGCCCTTAATTGTCATCCATCAGAAAGTCAGCAAAAGGAGAAGTAGGAATCTGTTTGGCCTATGAACTTCCATAGAAAGTGCCAAAGAGATAACAAAAACAACAAAGTGAGAAGATGAAAGAAGGCATCCATTTGACATAGCCTTAGTGTACGTCTCCCCATCTGCTGTGTCTGGGTTGCAGTACAAGACTTAGGTATCTTTACTGTTTATTAAATGATTGAACACCTTGATCTAACCATCTAACCAAGGTATTATAAAGAAAGCCAAAGAGTCATTAATTGTAAGGAAGTTACAAGCTATGTATCTCACACAGCATCACGACAATGGTCCCACCAGTTAGGTGCTCTCAGGACACTTCTCTGGCATGAATATTTTTGGAATTTTAAAAGCAAATGGACTCTGCTAGTAGAAATAAGATTGCAGCCCTAATTCAAAACAAAACCAGAGTCACTGCTGGATCTAAAAGAGTATCTGAGTTACCATTCAGCCCAAAAAACATAGCAGTGGTAGGCTGCCAAAGTACCCGAGTTCTGGTATGGGTTTTATTGGGCACAGCCAGCTAGGAGGTTTTGATTTCAGCTCCCAGTTCTTTCCTGGATTTTGAGACTCCAGCCTCCACCTGCAATGATTTTACAGTGCTTAAGGTCCTTCTTCCACATAGGTATGGTAAGACAGGCAACCGAGTCCACAACAATCTATTAACTTGTGCGGACAGGCAACAGAGGCATGACACAGTTCCTGAAGCAAGTATCAGTCATCAAAGCCTTCAATTGTATAGCAGATTCTTAAAGTCAACCAGACTTTATAAATAGCTGGAGATAAATTCTCCAATTTTTTCCACTAGACTAACTCCAAAGCTAACAGTAATAAGGCCTTTTTCAACATAATACGTGAATTACATTGGATGGCACTTTCCCAGGAAGCTTCTTTCTAATCATTTGAGTTTAAGAAACTGTTCCAATGGTGAATATTCAAAGTATTCCTGGCAGAGAAGACACAATGGAAGTACAACTTGGAGATACCCAAAGTAATTTGTTTTATCACTCACCTTTGCAATTTATTCAGCAATCTATTTCATCCACCACTAATGAAAATCTAGGTAGAACTACAGATACGGGTATGACCACTCTAACTGAAAAAGTTAGGAAAATAAATAAGCCCTTAGTTTTCTGGTTAACTCTGAACTAATTCAGATAGAGTGAGTGAGTGAGTGATAGATAGATAGATAGATAGATAGATAGATAGATAGATAGATAGAATGACTTTGTTCCAAAGGAGTAATGCTTCATTCCTATATGAATGCTCTTACATCTGTATGTATTATGCAGCTGGTGTTCCTTTACACAAAAAATGAGTCACTGTACATATCCTAAAAAACTTAAAACATGCTCAAGTCAGTAGGAGTATGCACAGTGGAATTCGCCCTGCAATTAGCATTACATTAGAGAAGGAACACCACCCACAGACTCTGCAGGCAATGATATAACAAAGGAGACATAACAATAAACACTTGAATGTTTCTTGCCTTCAAAGAGTTGAGAAATACACCTACTTTTTTTCCAGTGAGTCACTTTTTATTTCTGAGATCAGAACACAATAGTTACTGAGCAGTTCATCTGAAAAAAAAATTCAGAACATTCCAAAACTTTCTGCTCTTTGTGGCCACAGTGTTGCATCCGTGCTGTGGATTGCTGTGCCTGGATACTCCCTCCCGTGCAAAATCTGAGTAATTATAACAATAATTACTTTGACATTTATGCAGAAGATGTAACCATTGATGTATTTGATGCTGTTCCAACAAACACAAGAGATGGTAAAAAATGGTAAGTAATGGTCATGGAGGTCTTCTCATATGCTACAGCTACATCTCTTCACTGATGTATCGTGTTATCTGACATTAATAATATATTTATTCAAATAACATTAAAGATTCTCACTTTGCTAGAAAAGTAATCAAACACTTCACTGCATAATCATTTGTGAGTTTTTATAGTGTATTAGCTAGTCCAGCTTATATACATTTTGATCCTCAGTTTTCATGAAACCCAAGTCATTCATTAAAAATCCATTAAATTAAATCCACGCCCACAGATATTTAAGATCAATCAACCTATTAGTAAAATCAGTAAAATTCCTCCTAGTAATTATAGCTGTCAATCCTAGTTATATTGTAATAGAAATTGGAACTTCTGATGCAGTTAAGAAATAAGTCTGTACACTGTGGAAGAGACACTTTTTCAATATTTTACTGAAATTGACACTTCTTTTTCCTTTTCTTACCATTCGATGTGCTACAAATAATAACACAATTCTGTTGACCTTGATACAAGAATAAAGAGTGAGGTATGCATTTGATTTTTCCTTTTTATCGCAGTACTACTGCAATTTCATACTTCTTTCAGTAACGTTTTTCCCTTTCAAATATAGCCAACAGTATTAACATGAAACGCCAGTGGTTCTGCCAACATAAACTAAATATTTCTAGCACCTGTTAAACAGAACAGACATATCTCTTCAAAATATATAACCCACTACATCTTAAAAGCTATGCATTATATATGCAGCACATTGTATGTTGTCATAACTACAAGTGGATTTTGAACATTAAAGCTGAAACACTGGAATTTCTTAGCCCTATAATCCTTATTAAGACAAAATCTCATGAATGCCAAAGGGAGTTTTAACTGATTAAATACTATGACTTTGTGGCAACATCTGGTTCATTACTTCAGTATCAGAAATTACATGGATACAGTTTTCAAATATTGTAATTTCAGCCATATACACAGTTAAAGATGTTCTGCTGGGCGTCTCAAATAGCTCAAATGGAATTCAGTCCTCATATAAAGCCTGGACTCCTTGCTCTTGGAAAGCAACACAACTGCAATGGCTTTTGCAAGCGCAGAAATTTACCTTACACCTTAATTCATCCTGCACCAAGTTTCTTTGCAGCTCTCTCCATTCCCTAGGATTTTATCTATGGACTTTTAAAGTAGCCCTAGGCCTTTCCCACCAGTTGTGCAGGGCACTGGAGACACAGAAACCTGTACATCACAACACAGGCAGTACGCAGAGACCTTCTGACAGCCATGAGCATTAAGAGCACACTGTCCTCCAAGCAACTTGAGAAATAGTCACTGATATATTATGACAGCTTGAGATGAAAACAAAACTAACCTGATCTATCGAAAGAATCATCAAATACAACTCTGCAAGTTTTCCCATTATTGAGGATGGTCTTAGCTGCACCAGGATCATAACTAGCAAACCATGGTAGTAGGGAGCGATCGTAATGCACTTCTTTGTTATTGATTTCAATAGGAGACTGATGGCGTCCTTTGGCAATCGGGTAATTTTTGTGCCACTGATCTGGTCCTAGAAAAAAATACAGAGAAATATCGTTAAAACCTTTTCCAGCTAGGTATGAATTATACCTGTGTTACAATAAATGCAAGTTTGGCTTTGCTTAGCTACAGAACATCAATTAAATGTATTAATAAGTAGGTTACTAATTGCCTGTTGTTAGTCATGCCCTGTCAAGAGTTTCACTGTATAAAAAGCAATTACGTTACTCTAGCTGGAATACTGGATATTGCAAGTCATTCAACTGGATCTAAACTCTCATAGCAACCTCTGGACTTTACTTATTAGAAGACTGACAATACACCAAGGAAGGAAACTAGAGGTGTATACTCCAAGCCCAGCAGTGGCTAGAAATATGATGGGATATACCCAAATGATTCAAATGTGGCACCATGTACCCATCTGGAGAGAGAAAAGGCCACCGATACCTGAAGAAGACAGGAATTTGAAACGTGGATTTAATTATCGTCATGGTTTTATCAAGAACTTCATGTCGAAAAAGCCTGACCGAGGCCAAGCTGTTCTGCCTACAGCAGAGGAGAGTGGAGGAACAACAGGCCACCCAGGTTTCCAACCTCTGCAGGCAGGAGGGATCGTGGCTGCACTGCAGGTCGGCACTGCTCTTCCTGCATCAAGGCTAGCCTAAAGCTGGATTTTAAAGCTATGCCAAATTTTAAATTATATTAACAGTTGGAAAACTTAACTTAGAGACCTCTGCCACCGCCTCTCCTTCCACCGGCTTTGCCTCTTCCACACCTGCGAGTGACGACCAACCGGCCACGCCATCCGGCCGTGCTGCCACTGCACAGACCCAGGCCCGCCTGGAGCCCATATTCCCCCTCTTCATGCAGGCTCAGGAAGTGGGGCCTC